GAGTCATGCTGGCGCAGACCAAGTAATGCCAAGGACTGCCAGCAGCCACCAGAAGCTGGAAGAGGCAAGGCAGGGTTCTTCCATAGATGGAAGCATGGGAGCATGGCCCTGCCTACCCCATGGTTTTGGACTTTGGGCCCAGAACTGGGAGAAAATGCAGTTGCATTGTCCTAAGCCGCCCCCTCCGTGGTCATTTGTTATGGCGGCATGGCAGCTTTGGAAAGCCAATACCAGTACCGACTTCGTCATGAATACTCCGGCAGAAAGCATTTTGTATTCAGGATACCTAATTAGTATGGGGCTAGGTTGCAAAGGCACCTGGAGTTTTACCAAAAAACCTAGTGTTTGTCCTTGACCCAGCTTTCTTCTTGTCCTTGGAAACAGATGCTTCAGTCCTCCCACATTCTTCCTTCTGTCCAGACTGTCACAGCATCCTCCAGATCCCCGTTCTAGATGCTTCCCTTCGAATGGACGCTCCACTCTAGTGGTTTTGCCTTTAGCCTTCTTCTCAAGTGTCTTTCTTTTTCCAAAAATGTTAAAAATAAATTATTTAAAATATACAGAGGATAGAAAGTAACATCATAAACACTAATGAGTTATCACCTAGATTTCCCTTCTATCTTTCTGCACTTCTCTCTCTCTCCTTTTCTGCCATGTTCCCACGTGCATCCAGCCCAATGTTCTGCTCTCGGTTTCCTAAGGAACAGGAGGTAGGTGCAGAGGGGCCCAGCCTGACTACACACCGGCTCCTTGGGGTACCACGCTCACACACGTGGGTGACAATGAGGTGGAGGTGGTGGACTTTCAGAAGGGCACGTAAGGAATTATTACCCTCCAAGTAACTTCAGCATCCCTGGTGCCTCATTCCTACATTTTAGACATGCCCTCCAGACTGAACCTATCCCAACATTTTTGTCTTTTTTTTTTTTTAAGTATTTTTTAATTGATTTCAGAGAGGAAGGGAGAGAGAGAAACATGAATGATGACAGAGAACCATTGATTGGCTGCCTCCTGCATCCTTCCAAATGGGGATGGAGCCCGCAAGCCAGGCATGTGCTCTTTACAGTCAGGCTGGGTCCCATCTGACTGGGAATTGAACTGTAATTTCCTTCCTGGTTCATAGGTCGATGCTCAATTACTGAGCCACACCAGCTGGGCCATTTTTGCATTTTAAAATAGAATTTATTTACCCTAAGTAACCTGTAAGCAGTGGCGTATGTTGGAGACGGGCTCTGCATCCTTCCCCTCTACATCAATACATATCCTTTAAGTGAAAGGCTCCCTTACCTCGTGAGCTATCTTACAGAAAAGATGGAGCTACATCCCATCTGGCCTCATGAAAGGTGGAGAGAGGGCAGAAGATCATACCTGGGCATGACTACATGTAGCTTTTCGGACTTCCTTTTGTCACCTTTTGTCTCCTTATTATCCTGCAAAGCTTCTCCCTAGAGGGTTTTATGGTGTTTTCAGAAATACTTATTAGCTCTTGGTCTTAGACTTCAATTTCCCAATTTCCCCTTGAACTTAATCTCTCCAATTAGGATTTCAAGTTACGGATTACCTGCAGGAACTATTCTTGGTAGAGTTTAGAGGATCATTAGGGAGACGGAGGTACAAATAAAATACTATGAAGGTATTACAAAATGCTCTTGTTCTCTTGTGGTAGGGCTGGCGGAACTACAATGAATGGAAACAGCGCAGTGTTTTTCTCGCTTCCCATTTGTTTTGGACCCTGGGCTCCATTCTGATTTAGGATCTTCCCTGCTCAGCATTTTAGTGATAATTCTCCCCAATGGTCTACAGGATCCCTGTTCTCTTTGTTTCTATAGCAACAGTCCTGTGTTGCTTGGCTAGAAGCAATTTTCTGCTGCTGTGGTAAAGCCCTGTTTTTTTTTTTGTTTTTTTTTCATTCCTTTCTTCCCAGTTGCCTTGACAACCAGCCTCTCCCTCTTCTGGTCTCTCGGTGGTAAATTCCACTCCCCTCTTTTCTACTCTCTAGTAACAGTCACCTGGTCATGACTGGGACAATGCTTTCCCATCTGTGAGTGAGCATACTCTGTCATGGTCAGATTGTCATCACGAAATTAGCCTCCCTTTTGCTTTATTTGCATCATTTCTCCAGCCTGTCATCTTTCTGTTGGTTGCCATGGTAACTGTACCCTCTGAAAGTCTCCAGGCAAAAGACTCTACAGTTAACAACCATCATGTTGAGTGTCTGCCAATATGTGGCCTCACATCTTGATTTTAATACCAGCCCCAGGCAGGTACCACAAATTGGAGAGAACAAGGCTTTTGATCAGAGCAGATTGGACTGAGAAAGGGAGGTATGGGGACCCTGGGATCTGGTGTTTTCCAAACAATACATCTGGCCACAGGAGTGGCCATTATGTCAGGGTGATCGAAGTGATTGAGAGATGTAGTCATAGTTATTGCTGGCAGGACACATATTGGCGGATATTCTCACATATGCTCTAAACTTCCAGGAGTAATTCCTGTGGCCCAGGGGATCCTGGTAACATGATTTGAGAGCTAGGCAGAGACAAGTAATCTCAGGAAGAAAAAAAAAAATTAACTCTTACATTGGCTAAGAAAGGGTTCGTACAGGAGGCATTTAGACACGTTTACACATTACTGAACATGTTGGACTTTAGGTGGCTGCTCTTACCTCTTTATGAGGCAGATGGAGTGTTACTTTTATAATAATACAAAGTGTTCAAAGATGGTGGTTGTTATGTGCCAGGGCATTGTAGCTGACACTTTTCAGACATTACTTCATTTTCTTCCTATGGAAATCTTGAGAGGTATTTAATGATATGAAAATTGAGGAAACTGTATGAGGCCACAAAGATGATAAGTGATAGAGCAAGGATTTGAATCTTGGTCCATCTGATTCCAAAGCCCTTTCTTCATGATTGTGGAGTCCCCTGGATTTTGGTCTTCTCTTGTCCGAATTCTCCTTACCTACTTTTTTTTTTTTTTTTAAATCCTTATCCAAGGAGATTTTCATTGATTTTGTGTGTGTATGTGTGTGTGAATATGAGAGAGAGAGAGAGATTGATCGATGTGAGAGAGAAACATCCATCAGTTGCCTCTTGCATGTGCCCTGACCAGTTTGGGGATCGAACCCACAACCAGACTGGGAATCAAACCCCTGACCTTTCAGTGTACAGGGCTACACTCCAACCACTGAGCCACATGGGAGAATTGATACTACTTTATCCTTTCTGCCTGTTTTACTTTTCTTCTTCATCTTTTGTGGGTAGTTGGCTTGTTTTTCTTTTTTCTCACTCCATCTCCTGCATCTTCTCCTCAAAACTGGAACGTTTTGCCTGCCTTCTGGTTGTGTCTGAGTTTGCGCTGTGGGATGAAAACATTAGTGCAGCCACCCTGGTCTGGTAACATGGCAGATTTGATCCTGGAGAATGCCACGCCCCTGAGCTGAATGGCTCCAGCACTAGATAGGCAAGCCATTCCGCTCTCCATTTAATAATATTGGGCCCTGTTCGCAGCTCAGTTGGTTAGAGGGTTGCAGAGTTTGATCCCCAGTCAGGTCACATATAAGAAAACAACTGCCGAAACCGGTTTGGTTTAGTGGATAGAGCATCAGCCTGTAGACTCAAAGGTCCCAGGTTTGATTCTGGTCAAGGACATGTACCTGGGTTGCAGGCACATCCCAAGTAGGGGGTGTGCAGGAGGCAGCTGGTCGATGTTTCTAGCTCTCTATCACTCTCTCTTCCTCTCTGTAAAAAAATCAATAAAATATTAAAAAGAAAGAAAACAACTAATGAAGCATAAACAAGTGAAACAACAGAAATCGATATTTCTTTTTCTCTCTCTGCCTCCCCCCTCTCTCTTTCTCTCTCTTTCTCGTCAATTAAAAAAAAAAAAACATAAAAAAGGGTGACTCATTATTAAAAAAAAAAGTCTGACATTTGTAAAGCGCTTCATTAAAAACAGAACAAGCTCTGGTGGTTTGGCTCAGTGGGTGAGCGTTGACCTATGAACCAGGAGGTCACCGTGTGATTCCAGGTCAGGACACATGCCCTGATTGTGGGCTCCCTCCCCTGTGTGGGGCCTTTGAAAGGCAGCCTATTCACGATTCTCTCTCATCATTGATGTTTCTATATCTCTCCCTCTCCCTTCCTCTCTGAAATCAATACAAATATATTTAAAACAACAACAACAATATTGGGAGCCTACTCGGTATCGGGTACTGTGCTAGGAACTGGAGATACAGCAATGACCTAGGCAGGAGCTGTTCTTTCCTTTGATGGAACCAACAGCCTAGAGTGGAAAGTCAGACAACAGACAAGAGGTCAGTTTATAATTTTACATTGTAATCAGTGCTCTGAAGAAAAATAACTGGGTGCTGGAAAAGAATGACAGGGATAATTCTATTCTATTTTATTTTTCTTCCTAGAATTCTTTTCCCACCTTTTTAAATGAAATAATAAATTTGATCAGTTATCAGAACTTCTGGTAGAGCATTTTATGATATCTGTTTTTTTGCCTACACAATTTATTTTTTCTACAATTGGATCTAATACACAGTCTAGACTAGGTTGTAAAAACCTGATTGGTTAATACAATTAGAAGATTTTAGTAGTATAAATACTGTTTTCCTTTTTTGGTCAACTTTTTACATTTTTAAAATTATTTTTAATTTTTTTAATTAAGGTATTACATATGTGTCCTCCTCCCTCCATTAACCCTCCATCCCCTCCTCCCCCCACTCATGTCCCCATCCCCCTGGTGATCATGTCCATTGGTTGGTGCTTATATTCATGCAGGGATCACTGCATTTCAGACAGGACTGCCAGCCTGTGTGGGAGAGCTGGTAGTTGAAAGCGATGACACCCCTTAGTTGACGGCATTCACGTCCTGAGCCTGGGACCCCGGCTCCGCGGCTCCCGCCTCCCGGCTCAGCCCGAGCTTTGCACAGGCGCGCTGACGGTTGTCATGGGGACAGCTGCTCCCGCGCAGGCGCAGACGTCGCCAAGATGGCGGCGGCGGCGGCCGCACGCGCCGTGTCTGCGGGCCAGGGGCTCCGGGGCGCGCAGCGGGCCCTGCCGCTGGTGGTGATCCTCGGGGCCACGGGCACCGGCAAGTCCACGCTGGCGTTGCAGCTCGGCCAGCGGCTCGGGGGCGAGATCGTCAGCGCCGACTCCATGCAGGTAGGGCCGGGCCCGCGGCGTGGGGAGCCGGGAGGCCGCGCACGTGCAGGCCGCGGGCCGGGGGACCCCCTGCGGCGGGGCATAGGGCGTGAACCCCGAAGCTCGCGGGGCGGACGGGGGAGGTGAAGGGAAACCATAATTACTAACCGCCCACCGTCTGTCTGATACAGTTCCAGGCGTTTCACTTTCATCTCCTTGACTTCTCAGGACAGGGCTGTTTGGTGGTTATTATCTCCATGTGTAGACGGGGAATTCACCCAAGGAGGCGAAATACGCTTACTCCGTGTCACCTAGCACATGGGTGGAGGAGATAGTACTTGGACCTACAAGGTTGACCTATATAGGTTCGATAAATAGCTTTTTCAAGGAAGTATATTTTATTGATTTTTTTTTTTTTACAGAGAGGAAGGTAGAGGGATAGTTAGAAACATGGATCAGCTGCCTCTTGCACACCCGCTACTGGGACGTGCTCGCAACCAGGGCACATGCCCTTGACCAGAATGGAACCTGGGACCCTTCAGTCTGCAGGCCGACGCTCTATCCACTGAGCCAAACCGGTTAGGGCCGATAAATAGCTTTTGAATGAAAATTATTCTAGAGCTTTTGCTATGTAGAGTGCCCAGCGACACCAAGATAAATGGGTGACCATCTGTGGGTTTCTGCCGGGGGAATGGAAGAGGCTGGAGACTCAGGAAACCTGGATTCCAGCCCCTAAGCGGCCACCGGCCTCGCGGCCTTCATAATGTCGTTTTTTGGGGCCATTATGTATCTGTAAAGTGGAGAAAACACTGCCTTACCTCACAAGGCTGTAGTAATTAATACCTGGGATTAAAATAGTTAGGATGAAGAGCAGCGTGGCCTTTTCCGAAGAAGACCAGACACTTGGTAAATGCTTGTTTTAAAAAGCTGAGATTTAAAAAAAACAACAACAAAAAAAACATTTTTATTGATTTCAGAGAGGAAGGGAGAGGGGGAGAGAGAAACATCAGTGATGAGGGAATCCTTGATCGGCTGCCTCCCAAATGGCCCATACAGGGGGAACCTCCTGGTTCATAGGTCCCCGCTCAGCCCCTGAGCCCCGCTGGCCGAACTTTCCAGTTATTGGCAGTTGGGAAGCAGGAGGCTTTGTCCTCTTCCTGAGTCGGAGGGAGGCCCAGGAGGAATGTAGGACACATGGCACCTGGGAGCATTTGTGTTCGGATTGAAAGGGCGACTCTTTGGGTAAATCGCTGACGGGAGAATTACAGGTGCTGTTTGTTGAAGAGAACTTACACACAGCTGTTTTTATGGAGTAAATGAGATGCTCGATGTGAAATTCCAGGTAGGTTCAGGGCCTGGAGGGGCAGCGCTCCCCACTCTACCTTATAAACCTCTGGGCAAGGTTTCTACCCTCCTTAGTTCTTTGGGGGTGATACAGCCATGGACACACATGAAATGATTAGGATCATTCCGCAAATATTTGTGATCTCTACTTTGTGTCAACTTCTAGAGACAGACTTTAGGATTGAAATAGGATGAATTCAAATTCTAAGCAAGGTTCAGGCAGAACTTCCTTTTTTTTTTTTTTTTTTATTAAAGAGCCAGCCCTATGTGCACTTAGTGGTTATCTCGATGCTGGCCTTGAAAAACAGTGCTGTTCTATCCAATTGAGAAAGTGCACCTGGCATGGTATTGAGATTGTGGGCATATCTGGTCTCTGGCCTACAAGGTTGGACAGCTAAGTTTATCTTCATCATTCTTCAAACAGGCAAACTAGAAAGCAACATTTTATCTAGGAAGAACAGCAGAAAATTCCAAACAACAGTTTGTTGCAGAATGGGGGTTTTCCTTCTCAGAACCTTTAAAAATAACTATCTGCCCCTAAAGCAGCACAGTCGTGTAGGGTCCGCCTGCGTATGGTACTCTTGCGGCTGCCCTGGCCAGTTCAATAAATTCTTGCCTGCTTTTTTTAATAAATCATCATCCTCCGGTGGTCTTTTTTTGAACCCAGGGTTTGACCCCACAATTACTGCTGTGTGTGTGCTCCATGTGAGCGACATAGGTGCTTATGTAGGTGGGTTCCCACTTACTGCGAAAATTGCATAGGAACCAATCTCCGACAACCTACTGTATATGAAAAATACTTTAGTGATCTGAGCTTTCTGAATTGGGTTTAGGTTGTATTTAATTTTGATTATATCTTGGATATTCGTAACATTTCTTCTTGGTTCCATTGATTAACGTTGACATTTGATTTTACTTTTCAGTATAAATAATAAAGTATCTCTGCCCTATTCACTGTGGATATTCAGTTCTTCATTTCTGTATCTGCTTACCAGGCCCCCCTGTGAGGGAGGTGCTGCTTTGCTTGTTTCTTAGCTAATGGGAGAAAGGAGGTGATGCTTTTCAGTGACTTGAGGTTGAGTCAGAAAATTTTTGCTAAGCATGTGAACAAAGTGACATTTTAAAAAAAATTCTTGTTATTTATTTATTTAAAATATATTTTATTGATTTTTTTTACAGAGAGGAAGGGAGAGGGACATAGAGTTAGAAACATCTATAAGAGAGAAACATAGACCAGCTGCCTCCTGCACCCTCCCCGCACCCCCACTGGGTATGTGCCCCCAACCAAGGTACATGCCCTTGACCAGAATCAAACCTGGGACCCTTCAGTCCGCAGGCCGAAGGTCTATCCACTGAGCCAAACCGGTTTCGGCACTTGTTGTTATTTATTAATCCTATCCTGATTAATTAAAAGGATACTTTTCCGGTGATTCTTAGAAAGAGTGAAAGATATGGGAAAGACAGTAAGAGAGACATATGAGAAATACATATCCATTGGTTGCCTCCCGTACAGGACTGCGCCCTTGAACGGAATCGAACCGGGAACCCTTCAGTCCTTGGGCCAATTCTCTATCCAGAGTCAAACCAGTTAGGGCACAAAGTGACATTCTTAAGGTTGGATCACCAGTTCCTTGAATGAATATTTTCAATTTAGAATAAATCAACAGGCAAAATAATAATAGCTTAAATTTGTATAGTGCTGCTTATCCTCACAGTGATCTTGTAAAGTAGATATTATTTCACAGATAAGAAAAAGGATCTCACTGGCCAGTTGGTTAGAGTGCTGTCCCAATGCACCAGGATTGCAGGCTTAGTCTCCGGTGGCAGTGCATGAAGGAAGCAACCAATGCATGCATGGGTGGGTGGAACAGCAAATTAATGTTTCTCTCTTAAGTCAGTAAAAATTAAAAAAATTTAAATATATTTTTGTTGATTTCAGAAAGGAAGGGGGAAAGAGAGAGAGCTATTATAGAAACATCAGTGATGAGAATTATTGGTTAAGCCCCAAACCTGGCATATGCCCCAACTGGGAATCGAATTGTGACTTCCTGTTCATAGGTTGATACTCTTCCGGGCTAAGGCTAAAAAATAATATAAAACATTTTTAAAATTTTTATTGATTTTAGGGAGAGGGAGAGGAATAGAGGATAGAAATATTGATGTTGATAGGTTATCTCCTGCATGCCCCTTATTGGGGATCAAGCCTGCAACCCCAGGCATGTGCTCTGACTGGGAATTGATCCCGTGACCTCTTGGTTCATGTGTTGATGCTCAGCCATGGAGCCACACCGAGCGGGCTAGAGTATTTAACTTGTATGCCACTTTTCTTTCAGAAGGGTGTACTGCATTTTGATCAGGATATAAATTGTGTTTTAGGATTCATAATGTGAATCATAGTGTGAATTCGTAGTGATCTTCGTCAAATAAAGTGTTGTTGAGCTGAGTGTCGGCCACATGATGCACTTAGGGGGATAAAATGTGCTGAAACTAGATAGAAATATAATTTTGTCAAAAATTCAATGATAGCTGTGGGAACCCCTTGTCCTGAGTGGTTCAGGGTTCGGGTTCTGGAGAAGGCCACACATCAATAAAAAGAGACTAGAAAGTGTATTAATTTGGCGATATTGGGGACCAGGCAGGAGCCCACCTCTAGTGGGAGGACTACATATTGCTCTGGCCTTGCTATCCCTTTTATTGAGACTATGGGATACACCCATAGCCCTTAGGCAGGAAATTCCAACAGAAATTTACTTAAGACAAACAGGTGGAGGCTGCTTCAGCTTATAATGTTTCAACTAAACAGTGAGTGGTTAGAGCAATTAGGGTTGTTGACCAGCCTTCTGAGTTTCTTGTCCACATATTTCTATTAGTGAGACAGTGATTGGTTTTCCGTAGATAGCTCAGCCAGCTTGGTTCAGTGGTTGAGCATCAACCTATGAACCAGGAGGTCACGGTTTGATTCCCGGTCAGAGCACGTGCTTGCCCAGTTTGTGGGCTTGATCCTTAGTGTGGGGTGTGCAGGGCGGCCTATCAATGATTCTTTCTCGTTGATGTTTCTCTCTCCCTCTCCTTCTCTGAAATCAATAAAAATATTTAGAAAAAGAATAATTCAAATGATAGCAAAGATTGAGACTGTTTACTGGAACAAAGGGGGGAATTTGGCTTTGTGGAGAACCTGTACAGAACAGTAAACTTCTTTGTTGAAATAGCTACACAGACCAAAGGGGGACCAAGTGGAAAGTGTGACAATTAGAAACTTTTTTCAAGTTGACCTTTAAATAATTTTTTTAACATTCCTTTTTTTAATTTAAAACATTCATTTAAAAAAATATATATATATATTTTTATTCATTCAGAGAGGAAGGGAGAGGGAGAGAGAGGTTGAAACATCAATGATGAGAGACAATCTATTGATTAGCTGCCTCTTGCATGTCCCCTACTGGGGGTTGACCTGCAATCTGGACATGTGCCCTTGACTAGAATTAAACCTGGGACCCTTCCGTCTGAAGCTGACACTCTGTCCACTGAGCCAAACCGGCTAGGTCTAAAAAAAATATTTTTAAAAAATATTTTGTATTGATTTAAAAAAAATTTTTTTTTGAGAGGGGAGGAAGGGAAAGGAGAGAGAAAGAAACTTGGATGTGAGAGCTAAACCTTAATTGGATGCTTCCTGCTCA